GGACATGCTGAACAACAGGGAGATTCGTGATATTTATACTTTGACTATTTTTTATGAGTAATACTATGCTGACTAAAATTTGGGACTAAATAAAAAGTCCAAATGACATGACAGTTGCTGACTAATTACCATATCAGCAAAATCTTTTTGTCTTCTCCAAATCAAGTATAAATAGGCATATCAGCAACTGTCATGTTAAATTCATTATTTTATTTAGGTTAGACTTAAAAAGTAGTAAAACAAATGTATATCAACTCTTAGATGAATGAATCCTATTAATTTTTTAGTGGGATCCACTTATTTAATAAATAATATACATTTGAATTATATTTTTTAGATTCTATTTATATTGTGTAACATTTTTGTTTATAAGGAGACAGAAATTTGATCATGCTCTTCTAACAGTCAACCATGATTTCTCTGTCAAGGCTCAAACAAGTCGATTGGTCGGTGGAAGTGGAACTGGAAACCAAACTGGCATTCTGCATATCCTACTTTATTCATAAAATAATTAATTAATTGGTTGCTTGGTTTATGTCTCCAACGATATCTATTAAAGTATACACATCTAATTTTTTGAATTGTTTCTGGAGGAGTATGCTAACCCACTGGATGAGTCACATATATAACTATATAAAATAATTAATTAATTGGTTGCTTGGTTTATCTCTCCAACGATATCTATTAAAATATACGCATCTAAAACACACCTTTTCCCAAGCCCCTGACATATGGACGAAAACCAATGGAACCTCACACCTCACCTTTTCGCCCTGAGAAAGTTCGATTTACTGTACGTCAAATTTTATTATTTTATTTCGATGGGACTTAAAAATTCGTAAAACAAATACATATCAACTTTTAAATGAGTGAATCTTATTAATTTTTTAGTGGGATCTACTTCTTTAATAGATAATATACATTTGGTTATAATTTTTAAATTTTATTTAATATTTTTGTTTATAAGGAGACAATTAAATTTGATCATGCTCTTCGAACAGTCAACCTTGATTTCTCAGACGAGGCTCAAACAAGTTGTTGATTAGATGGTGGAAGTGGAAACCAAACTGGCATCCTGCGTATCCTACTTTACTCATGGAAGCAGGTTGTTCTACCGTTGGGAAGCCAAAATTAGATACATTAATTCATTTTATTTAAAATTGTGTAAAAGGACGAAGGTCCGCAGAAAGGGATCGGCAGTTGACTGATCTAGGCGAATATCTCTTTTGATCTTGTATGATTTTATTCTTCAAGATAGGCTGTACAATCATAAAATAATTAATTAATTGATTGTTTGATTTAGTCTCCAACAATATCTATTAATTAAATGCTTGTATGATTGCTTGATGTGCCAGTGTGACTTTACAAATATAAAATTTAATACAAATATGAGGTAATTAGTAGTAATTGTTTATATTTGAATGTATTATATTACTTGTAAAAAAAATTAGAAACATTTGCCCATGTATAAACGCAATGTATAACTACCATGCAACATAATTCATTAACCTAAAGAAATGATTGCATTGTAACTGTTGTATCGGCACCAAATTTTCAATGTTTAATAGGACTCGTAATCAATTCAATAGTCATAATACTTTTTTTCTACAAAGTTTTCAGACTTGTGTTGACTATTTTGTTGATTTTATCGGCTGATTACCACGACTTGAGTTGTGTTAGAGAATATCCCTTTATGGACAAGGGTAACTAGCGGGGTTAAAGTATGTTTTTTTTATGGACAAGAGTAGTTGGCTCTTAAGGAGTATGGGAGGGGATTAAATTTGAGATATGTGGATTATTAAAAGTTAAACTCAATCACTCAACTACCTTTAAAGATCACCATAATAAATTAAATAAATAAATTAAATTAAAATTTTAAATTTAAATAACATTATTGTTATATAAAATAGACGTAAAAGGAAAGGAATCGACGGTCGACCGATTTGGGCGAAGATATGTTTTAATGTTGTTTGACTTTGTTCTTCAGTGCATTAACTTCGAGACAGACTGGACATCTGGTAAAAGTTGATTGGGATGTCACGTGAGGTGCACATATATAACTATATAAAATAATTAATTAATTGGTTGCTTGGTTTATCTCTCCAACGATATCTATTAAAATATACGCATCTAATTTTTTGAATTGTCTCTGGAGGAGTGTGCTGACCCACGTGATGCGTCGGTGGTGTGACTTTACAAAGAAGCATCGGTAAATGAATTTAAAAATTAAATTTAATAATTTTGACTATTAAATAAATAGTGGATCCTGATAAATACTGAAACCTACAGTGAAATTAATGGTTGTAATTATTAAATCTAATTTTTAAGTTTATTTTGTAAGTTCATATAGCATTGTTCTTTACAAATATAAAATCTAACACAAATATGAGGTAACTAGTAATTATTTGTATTTGTAGGTACTATATTACTTTAAAAAAAAAAATTAGAAATATTTGTACAAAATTTCAGCAAACAACAATAAAAATGGACCAACTAATATTTTTAAAAATTTTGACAAAATCTCTTTTAAAACTAGGATATTTGAATAACATCAACTTGTATACAAAAAATATATAATCAGACCTTTATATAGATTCTCATAACCTTTTAAAACTATGTGATTAAAGAAAATTTCAGAGTGACATTTTCTACAGTATCTATCCAAATGTCTTTTGGTTAGTCCCCATAATTGAAATTAAAAAAACAACTCTTCACGACAAGCATACTAATGGGAAAAAATGGTCCAAAAAACAAACATCTAATTTAGTATAAAAGTCCTGGGATTAATGAGATCCCGGATTTGAGTAGCAACAAAAAAAAAAGAAAAGAAAAGAAAATGAGTTTCCTTACTTTAGTATAAAAGTCCCTCCCCTTTCACTCCTTTTTCTGGTCTCTTCTACCCTCTACACCTCTCACTCACACCACTCTTTATGCGAAAGACCCAATGGTTCCAAAAAAACTATTTGATGTATTTTTTTATATCTGATTTAGATTATATCTATTTTTTTTGTTTAGCAATTTGAGGTATTAGTTAAGATTTGATTTTTTTTTTTTTTGTGTTGTACTACAATTATTTATTTTGTATTATGAGATTATTTGTGTAGATCTGAAAGTTCTCTCTGTGTATTTGTATGTGTGTGTGGGTTTTTGTATGTTTGTGTTCATTTTATATTACATAAAATAAAATAGTTATCAAATATTTTTTTATTTTCATTTTTAGACTTTTTAAAATAAAAACACGATTGTTGTTTTAACCAAACTCGTTTGCTTTTCTGTTTTCAAACACAGTTCCCCACCACATAGCTCTACTCTTCCCCTGGCCCACCCCAACTCTCTCTCTCTCTCTCTCTCTCTCTCTCTCTCTCTCTCTCTCTCTCTCTCTCTCTCTCTCTCGTAATTAACTTGAGTTTATTATAAATGTACCATTCTTTAAAAATCTATCTAATTTATTTTATAGATATACGGCAATTTTGAATTTATTATCGATCTATAAAATTTTTTGAAAGTGAAGTCAACAATCTGCTTTAAACAATAAAAATGGAAGAGTAATACTATTTAAATCTAAAAATTTGACCTATTTTGTTGACATAATGAGGTGGTTTCAGCAGAACCATTAGATCAACACTAAGTTCTAATATTTGATGGGCTTCACAGTTAATTCAAAAGTCATAGTGAATTAGGTCAGCAAATTAGATCAATAAATTAGGTCTCAATAACATTGCTCAAAATAGAATCAACAACTTTACTAGCATTGCTCAAAATAGAACCAACAACTTTACTTTTGATGATAAGTTCAAAATTGTAAATATGTTTGAAAATTACTCCTTTACATTGGTTATAAACACGGTGATGGCACGAGTGTTGTTCTGGGGACTAGTGCATGGCAAGACGTGAAGTCGTGTGACGGGAAAATGGCGAAAGAGATACAAAATTGCCAAAATTATTGGATGCATGTAAATCATGGGTTTTTAGGATATCCGTAAATAATTTAATCCCTTCTACTTTTAGTACTGTTGTAAGTGTTTTTATAATTATTGTGATAATTATTTTTTTTACATACAACAATAATGATAAAAATAACAATAGCAATAATAAAAAAAATTACGATAAATAGAAGTATGATATTGAATTTTTTTCAAAATCGTAGATAACTCTGAAGATGGCAAGGAGACATGAACCAATTTGTACAAACGGTAGAGAAACGTACCTATTTTATAGTAGAGTAATACTAGATGAACTTAAAAATTAAACTTGATAATCTCAACCGAATAAATAGTGGGTCTCAATAAATGCTGGGACCTACAGTGAAATCAATAATTAAGATTATCAAGTCTAGTTTTTAAGTCTATTTTTTAAATCTACGTAACATTACTCATTATAGTATAATGATACGTGAGTGTATGATTTAAAAATTTTAACAAGTTTTAGTTTAGCACTATATCAACTAATGAAGATTAGCAAATGAGCGCCTATAAAAAGAGAAACATCTCTTGACATTTGCATCTTCACATCATTTTTCCAAGACTGAGCAATCACCCATGGCGTTTGAGAGCAATCAACTCAACATCATCTTTCTTCCATTCTTGGCCTCAGGCCACATGATCCCCATGGTCGAAGCAGCAAGACTATTTGCAGCTCATGGCGTTACTGTCACAATAGTCACCACCCCCTACAATGCCCTTCTCTTCCAAAAATCCATTGACCATGACAGAAACTCTGGCCACAACATAAGTATCCATGTCGTCCAATTCCCTCATGCCGAAGTCGGTCTCCCAGTCGGAATCGAAAACTTAAACAAATGCCCATCACACGACATGGTCAGTAAACTCTATAGTGGCATTCATATGCTTCAACAACCGTTTGAGCAGATCCTTTTCAACCTCAAACCAGACTGCATCGTCTCAGACATGTTCTACCCATGGACTGTACAAGTAGCCACACAACTTGGGATTCCAAGACTCCTGTTCCATGTTTCAAGCTACTTTGCCATCTGCGCAGAGCATAGCGTCGAAAAGCATAGGCCTCACCAAAGTGTGGAGTCAGACATACAGACTTTCGTGCTACCAGGTTTGGCACATAACATAGAGATGACGAAGCTTCAGATCATGGACTACGAAAAATTCCAAGATAGTTATACGGAGTTTCTGAGGGTTATTAAAGAAGCTGAATTGAAAAGCTATGGCACCATCTTTAACAGCTTCAATGGGCTCGAGCATGATTATGAGGAATACTACAAGACAGTCATAGGTGTGAGAGCATGGAGCATAGGACCCATTTGGCTGGCTTTGAACATAGATGCAGCGGATAAGGCAGAGAGAGGTAACACATCAATAGTTCAAGAGCACGAGTGCATGACATGGTTAAATTCCAAAGAACCCAACTCAGTATTGTACATTAGTTTTGGAAGCTTGACAAAGTTCTCCAGTGCCCAGCTTCTTGAAATAGCAGCCGGATTGGAAGCGTCCGGTCATCAATTCTTGTGGGTGGTTCGACAAAGAGAAAATGATGAAAGTCAATGGCTGCCAGAGGGCTTCGAAAAGAGGATGAGTGAGACCAAGAAGGGTTTTATCATAAAGGGGTGGGCTCCCCAACTGTTAATCATGGGCCACCCAGCCATTGGAGGATTGGTTACACACTGTGGTTGGAACTCTATTCTTGAAGGATTGAACGCAGGCTTGCCAATGATCACGTGGCCGGGATTTGCAGAACAGTTTTACCAAGAGAAGCTGGTGACTGATGTGCTAAAGATTGGTGTTCCAGTTGGAGTGACTGGTTGGTGTCGCTCGTTCGACGAGGTAACTGAGGTAGTGAAGAGAGAGAAGGTGGAGAAAGCAGTGGCTCTGGTGATGGGTAGTGGACCAGAAGCGATGAAGATGAGGAAGCAAGCTAGGGAGCTCAGTGCCGCAGCAAAGAAGACCGTGGAGAGTGGCGGCTCATCTAAGGCCAACTTGATCTCTCTGATCAATGAACTTAAAACAATAAAACATGGAGGCTGAGCCTGAGATTAATGGGAAGTCTTGTGTTGTTGTTGTGTTTAGGTTCTTTTCTACTTTGATAATTTGCTTCAAATTTGGACAAGACCGTCAATAAATTCCTTTGTTTTCTATGCAATGTAACCCTTTCATATTGAATAAATTCTGCAATATTAATTGCTGAAGGTGAAATTTGTGAATGGCTCCCTCCTCTCCCTACCTCCTCTCACCTTCCCATTTCATCTAACACCTAGCTAATCTTAAGACTGATTCTGTGGTCACTGCAGAGAACTCTCGTCAGGGGCAGATCCAGGAATTATGTGCGGTGGGACAAATTATTGGAACAAATTATAACTAATTGTTATATTAAAATTATAAAGTTAAAGTTGATGAGTAAGCCCAAATGGCCCGATCTATGTGAGAAGTCTAATATTAACTATGAACCCAATCTTATAATAACCCACCAAGCTTAATATAGTCCAAATCCAGTCAAGCTCATCAGGGAGCTAAGTAAACTTGGCTACATCATCAAATAAGCGTCTGGGAGCCTTACCCTCATCGCTGTGGAAATAGTCAACTCTCACCTCCTCATCAACTGAGTCTCATGGAGAGCACCTCAACCATTTCGCCCGTTGAGAAGAAATCGTAAACTCCACAATAATAGTTACTTATTTGCTATTAAGTCGCCCTAATCTGTTAGGGGACAACTATAAATTGTAAGCTCCACAAACACTTTGGGGGGCATCACTCACCTGAGCACATATGTTTTCTCCTCTTCTAAGCTTGTACCTTCTGCTCTTCCTATGCTCTTGAATTAATAAAGTACTCCGCGACTCTAGCCATTCAGAAGTGGACGTAAGTCACATTGACCAAACCACTATAATTCTCGTCTTCTCTCTCTCTACTTTAATTACGCATTTATTTTCAATTACTTGATAGGTGGTGCGCAAACCCATTTTGTGCATCATCAAAGTTATTCAATTTATCACAAATATGTTGATATGTCAATATTGAAAAATCAATCAATTAATATACGTTACTTCAAATATGATTAATATGTTGCCAAATTTTAAATATAGAAATATTTAGTTATAAGAATAGGAAAGAAAAATTTAATCCATTACAAAATATGCAAATTTCAATTTCAAGGGGTCAATCAAAAATAATTTAATCAATTGCTATTAACTTTAGAATTCAAATATTTGCAATTCCATAAGAAATTCATAACAACTATAACAAATTGAAAAAAATTAGATTTGTCATATAATGTGTGCATTTATTTTCTTCTCCCCAAATTTCTGATTTGTTGATTAAATTCTAATTAGTCATGCTTGCTTGACATTCAAACTTATAAAATAAATTTATGAAAAAAAAATTATTTATATTTTTTAAAATATAAAGAGTAATGCTATTTAATTTAGGTCAAGTTACTTTTTTTTAACTTCGATTTATAACTCAAATGATTGATCACAAAAAATATATGTTTCAAAGGTAAAAGTTAATATTTTAAAGGTTATTCGTAATCGTCATAATATCTTATGACCCATTACAATATTTATAATTGATCACGATATTTGTATTTTTTTTTTTTAAGTTAAACCCATTAAGTGCAAAATTTATTAATAACAAAATTATAAAGAGAGTGGAGAAGGAGATAAACTTTGCCCCTTACATAATAGAAAAATAAAATTACTTTAAAAAGCTTGCAAATTCAAAGCTTAGCGGAAACCCACCCACCTTATTGCAAATTCGAAGCATACATGCTTCCATCATTATCTCCCCACCAAGAGCAAAGTGGTGGGTCCATGCATGCTAACACACTGACCCTGCATGCTTGCCTATGGCCCATCACTTACCATTAAATACTTCATGCACATGATTGACGTTGGAGTCCTCAAACTTCAAGAGGCAAGGTATGGATTTTAGCAAATCTTCTAAATAAAGGCCGAAATTTTTGAGTCTTGAAGCAGTAATCTTTTTCTTTGATAGGGTAGATCACGATACAAAAATCTTCCTTTGAATCTTTTTTACTTTCCTTTCCCATCATAATTGGCGCCTCCTTCATTATCTCTAAAAACTTAATCGCCTTAAATCATGCAATTGCTAAAACAGAAATTTGAAATTTTCCACTTAATCAAATGTGGAGATTGTAGCCGAAATTTCCTCCTCCCTATGACGCATGCAAAATATTCTCCATCTTCTACTGACAAATCAAACTTCCAACATATACTGCAAATTTGTCTCCCACTAAATACTCCAAACATGTGGGATCTCCAAAAGAGTCCAACTGAGAACCGAACTTGCATGTGATAAAAATTTTAGTAGGGGCAAATTTTAAAAAATCTTAAAATTTTTAAAATTTCAAACATACCTAAAAAAATTTCAGAATTGCATTGGGGGCAGTTGCACCCACTCCCCAGTGTAAATCCGCCCGACTCTCAGTATCAACCTTAACTGTTACTTAAACACAACTACACTGGTCTAAGTGTGTGATTGTGATCAGTCTTCATCTAAGCTTTTAGTACCTCGGACAGAGGATGCCAGCTGCATTCATATGAAGTTATTCTCTATACCTCCGCAGGATCATTGCTAAGTTAGATTCAGTTATAAATGAAGTGTGTAAGCATGTAAGTCAGCTTGTTGAAAGTAGTTAGACAAGTTTACCATGTGATTGTAAAGTGTACAAATAAAGATCTGGAAATCAATAATATGTTGAGCTACTTATTGTGTGTCTCTCTGTCTCTCACATTCTCTGTAAGTGTGTGGTGTCTGTCGGCTAACACACAGCTCATCATCTGTTATCTGCATCTACATTTTGTGTGTTACAGAGCCCACCCTTGTGCTTCATCCTAAGTTTGTATTACCTTTTCCATGCATCCATACTTGGTTACTTTTGTTCTCTAATGTGAAAATCCCACATTTGATAGGAAATAAAATGAAAGTGTCTAAATATATTGTGCATAAATGTACAAAAGTAGACAGCTTAAGTGAAAATATTGTCTTCCAAGTTAGGTACCCACGTCTATATATATATATATATATATATATATATATATATATATATACTATTAATTGTCCGTGCCTGAAGGCATTATGTTACTTATAAAATTTCAACAC